GTGAGAGCGACATGAAACTGTTGAAGGAACTTCGTAAGGAAGACACTGTAGGAACTCATCGTGTCACCAATCACCGTCAATATTCCTCCTCCTTTGCTTCAGGGCGCGTCGATGGAAGAAGCTCTTGATTCCTACGATCTGAGCTACTACCGCAATCTCGTCGAGGAAAAGAACTATTCTGTTGGTGAGTCTGCTGCTGCTGGGAAACCCTGCTCTACTACGCCCTATCCAGATCAGCTCCTTATACAGGAGTACTTCCCATTCGAACACGTCCTTAAGACTCTCCTCGAACTCTATGAGAGCATCCTCGGTCTTAAATTCACCAGAGTAGGTTTGAAATCACCACCGTTGGGGGTATTCGAAAGACACAGGACTCCATCGTCGTCGTATCAGGTCACCGACCAACCCGTTTGGCATGAAGACGTCGTGTGTTTGGCTGTGAATGATGCCGCTGATGGCCACTTCATCGGCTATTGTTACATGGACATGTTCCCTAGGGACGGCAAGTGGGCCTCCTCTCGTCGAGTTGACGTTCGCGGTATCTCCTTCACTCGACAGGTACTCTCATGCGGCGCTGTTCCCCCTACAGCCCAATGTCGTCTACAATGGTAAGAGGAGTTATGGCGTTTGCTCCCTAGTGTGCAACTTCACCAAGTCTACTCCAAAGAAACCCTCCCTCCTCACTCACGATGAAGTAGTATTCGCCATCACCACCACCATCAAGAGCAACCTTCCCGGTCCGTTTAGGTCGTCACTTTCTTCCACGAGTTCGGTCATTGCATGCATCACATCTGCGCTGAAAACGTCAAATTCGCCGAGTTTGCTGGTAAGACTTCTGCCGGTCTACACCCAGGAGTTGGTTCTCCGCAGGCACCAGTGTGGAGCAGGACTTCGTCGAATGCCCCTCGCAGATGTTGGAGAATTGGTGTTGGGAGAAGGATGTAAAAAGCGCGCGCGCACTGCTAGTTCATTTGATTTTAATTCAGATTTTGAAGCGTTTATCGCGCCACTACAAGACCCAGGAGCCGCTCCCTGACGACCTCATCGAGAAGCTGATCAAGTCGCGGGATGCCAATGAGGGCATCAACACTCAGAGGCAGTTGGTCTTTGACAACTTCGATCAGAGCATTCATGGAGGTAAGCCGTGAGTGCGATCTCGGATATTTTTTGAGTCTATTACAGTGGCCCCACCGAGTGACATAACATCGACCTTCAACGACATATCCCTGCAGACTATGGGTGTGAGGCAGCAAGAGGGCAGTCACTTCCCCGCTACATTCGGCCACATGTGCGGTTATGATGCAAAGTACTAAGCCTTTGGGTAACCCCATGGGTCAGCTCGACGTTGTTGATTTAGATATTACTCCTACTTATGGGCTGAAGTGTTCGCTGATGATCTTTTCTTGAGCAAGTTCAAGAAGCCCAACAACCTCTTGAATCCTGAGACGGGGATGGAGTATAGGAGGTGGGTTTCGCGGTCAGGGTTGGGGGATATATGCACATGGTCAACTACATGGTGACAATATGGAAATCGTGAGGAAGTTCTCGTTAGTTGCTGTCACGTGTAAGCTCCCATAATGTAGTGAGTTCAACTGATCAAAGCGAACATATATTCCAACGCTCTCCTCTGTCAGGACGATCTTGTCCCGTGGTGGTGCTGTAGACGCCTCGGAGATGCTCAAGGAGTTCCTCGGTAGAGAACCCAACCAGGATGCCTTCCTGGAAATGAAGGGTCTCAAGGCCTGAGGATGAGCTGTTTTATCATCAGCATCATCTTCGCATTGGTGTGTGTGTCTCTGCTGTTGGTGAACGCCAGTTTCAGTTGGCTCTGCATTCTCAAGTGTTGAGTTACAAGTCATTGACCTGCTCCTCGTATGGAGGCTTGGACTGAGTCAATAGAAAATTCAGAGAGCATTGCCACGTCTATAAGGCATCTCAGGATTCCCGAGTCGGGAATACTACTTCCCCTCCTCGTGAATAGCATCATAATGACGACTGTATGGGTACTGCTCGTCTTCCTCCTTTCCACACCTATATCGGCGATGGATGGTTTGGACGCCTCCTCCTCCCAGCAGTATCATCATCCAAGGACATGGATGGCTGAGGGTTGGGCAGAGGTCACTGCAGAGGGTATCAGTCTCGTAGAGCTGGTAGGGATGCCCTCCCTCTAGTGCTGTCAGTGCCCGCTTCTCAGGATGCCTCCGGGCCTGTGGAGTCTATAAGCTTCCATGATGACGGAACCAGCCTCATCAAAGTCCCCAAGTAGGATACCTAAATTGTGCTGCTCAACAGGGCACGCTGATAGTCGTTCGCCGCATTCAACGCGACAGTGCCCCCTCACTGGCGAGGCTCCGAGTGACCGACCTGTCAGTGACCCGGACAGCACTTTGGGTAGCCCATGTGAATTCTGGACTCGAGGGGTCTGTTGTGCTGAGAGGCAGCTATGGGCTGTGGAGGAAGTGTACGATAACAGAGTTATTGCCGCCTCCTTACTCCCATACTCAGGTTCACACACGCCCTTGCATTCGTACAGGAGTCCCCCACGTCCGGGCTCGGACAGTGCTCAGGTTGCCGAGAGAACATCCACGCCCTCCTCTGTGGCGTTGTTTGCAGTCCTGATATCGTTGAACGGGTGATAGCCATTGAGAAGGTCTCTAAAAGTAGCATGTCAGTCCCTAAAAACTGGCGAGATCGAGGTCGTCTTACCCTCGGCGTTTTGTGAGTCCCTGCGAGCATCCTGTGGAATAGCTGATGGTGAGACTCTTATAAGGGAAACACGGAGTTGTGCGTCGTCTACTGCAACCATCCCACCTCCGTTCACGAAGTGTGGAGTGTCCCCACTACTCATAGCCATATCCCTTTATATGCATTCAACAAGTATAACTTCATGATAACCTTGATGTATATTAATGGTGGTATTATGACTTTGAATATGAACTACTGGG